TGCGGGCGGTCATAGACCCCTGGGGGTCGATATAGACAAACCACTTTGGGAATCACTGGGCTAAATCAAATCACTCGGTACAGGAGCTTGCAGCCTTTGTATTTGGTATGAATATCTCTGTTGTTCTTTTAATATTATCTATTCAGTTGATGTATCAGTATTTAATTTCCCTGGTACTCCTGTTGCCCTTTAATAATATTTAGCACAGCAACTTATAATCCGAACTTCGCGGTGTCGCCCGTTAAATTTTTCCCGTGGGAATATGTTATACGTCATACCCATTTTTCGCAAATATATTTTTTTAAGAACGGCCTCCTCTGTTATTTTGTTGCGTCTTTTTTTTTAAATTGTGTTTATTAAATGTTGTCTGTAATTGTTTTCTTTAAAAGTTCTATGTTTGTGCAAATCACGTGTGAAGAGAGAGAGAAAGACTCTTTGTATCCTTTTCTTTAATTGCAGATTCATTCGCGACAAATTAAAAAATTTATAACATAGCACCACCCGCTGCGTTAATGCGTACATTCACGCTGCGAGAAACACTAAAAACTTGTCATGTGCATTTCACATTTCACGGTTCTGTGAGTGTGTCTGGTCCCAGTTTGTCGTTCATGAATGGGCGTAAAATTTGCGTAGGTTGTCCGTAGGACTGTCACAAATATTTCAGTGCACGTGCACAGGCAGCCGATTGTATTGAAATATTGCGACAAACCCATAATTATGTTCCCTGCGTCTGGCCGAACACCATGCATTAAGTGCCAGGTTAAGTGCGGATCTCAATTTGTTTGGACTTTCTGGATTACTGAAGAGGCGAATACCATCCCAATCTCGTTTTGATAATACAAAAAATTACTAAAAATACTAAGATGTCCGACAAACGCTTCTCTGTACTGTCTTTCAAATTATTCAGGTTATAAAATCCAAATATTCTAAATTTAATTTTTTTTAGTGCTTTACACAAATGAGAATGAATTGATCACCTTCAAGAGTTCTGTGGTGAATTAAACTGTATGTCAGCTTCTGGGTATAATTTTTGAAGTTTTATGTAGCATATTTTGTGATGATTATTTATAAAGCAATATTCCGCAATATAATTTTATCGATGTATTTAGTACGTTTTCCCTATTATATTATATTAATCTATTACTTACAAATTTGAAATATTTTTTTTCTTAATATATGAAAATAATTATATGTCTTAGTAAAATTTAAGAAATTAGGGAAATACATTGTGTTAGTTTTCGAAATTGTTTGTTCTTTATATCTGAAGCTCAAGCTCAATATGTTAGTTACCCAAAAATCTATTTATTTTATGCAATACCCTTCTTGTTAGTTGTAATTTGATGATTTTTTAAATGATGAATGATATAGCGATGATTTTTAATTAAAAAAATAGTCTAAATTTCTAAACATTCCGTTTTTGAAATATTTGCCTGTCCTAAAGTGTGCAAACTTTACTTTCATTTAGCTGATGTTATATCTCACTGTACAATAATCATGTAATAATTTGACTGTTAGTTAAGATTTTAAAATTTAGTTTAGTTTTAGTCCGAGAATATTAAATTGCTTTCATCGCTTATATATGTCATATTTCTTTAAATCATAATAAAATTGGACCATTGAAATTTTGATGCTAGTAGGTAAAATTTTTCGCTTGAAGACCAACATCACCAGAGAGAGTGATAGAGAGAAAAACAACAAAATTTTTGATGAAAATAATGCAGTCCATTTAATTCATTTTGTGAGATCTTCACTTTCGTTTGGGAATTTTCACGTTCGTAGTTGAAAATTGTAGTTTACACGCCAGTGAAAGTAAGCCCGTATATAACTTTCTCTCTCTATCTCGAACGAACTAGGGACTCGCTGTGTTGCCGGATATACGTAGGCTCTAATATTATTCTGGTGGCCTTTATGTAAAGCATATATTCCAATTTGGCATATTTACGTGCCGTGTGTAGTACGTATTGCGTTATTCTGATCTTGTTAACGTAATATTTCATTGACTCGCGTGGGTCTACAATAGAACGAGCCCATTCAATGGTTTCTCCGCCACGTCCCTGTCCACCTGTTTCGTTGTAGCAATTTGCCGGCTTTGTTTCATGAAAATTACTTCCATTGGCAAACAAAAAAGAAGTAAAATAATTGCAACGAATCCGTTTTTCGAAAGAGGCGTATAAATATTTTGTATTAAAAATGAATTAAATATAGAGAACAAAATAAAAGTGCATAAGCAAAAAGTTCCAAATGGCAATTTCACAATACGATTTAATCGGACTGTCTAAAACGCATTATTACTGGATTTTAATTTCTTATTGGTTTTGTGATGTTAATTAGTGTCAGTTTGCATATGCCTTTTTGCTATACCTTTCCAAAGTTATTGAAACTCAACTCAGACAAAAACCCAAAAAACGAGGCAGTTACAGGCTTTATGGAGCCATAACAGAAGCATAGCACATTAAATAAATTACAAATACTAAAAATGTCTTAAAGTAAAATTTCGGATAAATTTTGAACAAGTCTTCGGAAATGGACTGGATAAATGAAGTAGTGAGCTACCCTGTATAAGAACGTTGGCAGGTATCCAATGAACGCAAATACCTACGAGTACCAAACTAGAACCGCTTCTGTGTTCAATGTAACTTACACTAGTCTCTAACACAGTTTTATGAACCTATATTTTTAAAGAAATTGCTCTCCGAAATAAAGAATCTTTGGGAATAGACTCAAAATAGAAATATTATATATATATATATATATATATATATATATATATATATATATATATATATATATATATATATATATATATATATATATATATATATATATATATATATATATATATATATATATATATATATATATATATATATATATATATCCTAAGTTTTAACTAGAAGATTCTGCATTTTCCAGCTCGTCTTTTTCTGGAGTACCAATTGAAGCACGCCATACGTCATTTTAAGGAGTAAGAAGTGTATTTGTATCGTTTGATCTGGTATTGCTATTGATTTTAAATGTGACTTTATTATTATGGCGAAACCATATGTAGTATGTATTCTAATAAACGTTGTACATTTTTAAGAACTAACCATTTGCCAGGAACACTCTATACCGTTTCTTCTCAAACGAATAATTGCTATCTACTTCCCCTAAGATTACTTGCATTAAGGTAATAATAAGAGGGAAACTTTATTACGAAAAATATAGTAACAAAAATAATGATAATAATAATGACTTTGATATGAGTTATTACAAAGAAATAATTTCATATACCTGTCCAAGTTTGGAGCAAGTTTTGGCTACTGAACCAAACAGAGACAAACATAGTTTAACAATCCTAGGTTAATCCTATATAAAATTTATCTAGAGAAATTACTGTAATTATACCTGTGGAAATAAGTTACAGGAAAAACAAATTATATACATTGTAGTAACTTTTAGGTTATGACATTGTTTTTAAAACAGTTTGGAACTCAGTGATGTGTGAACGCCGAAAGATGGCAGTGTTATGATGTGGCATAGTTAGTTGGGCATTATTTCTAATATTAATATTGCGAACAGTGTTACGAAATATTAAGCGTTGTTTTATGGAAACTGGCGAATTAGGATTATTTATTACCTTTTACAAAACTGTCGAGAAATGTAGAATTCTCCACACATTCATTTTGAGCCATTTTGTATCATTGTATATGTGTGATACATGATCAAATTTCCTCACACCATTTACAAAGCTAATACATGCATTCTGTACTATCTGAACACACTTCTTACTATTCTTTTACAAACAAAAACCATAGACTAAGTCACAATAATTGAAATTAGAAGGATTCACACAAACTTCGTTTCAATTGTTTACTTAAAATATGTCTATTATTATACAAAACTTTTATGAAGGTAAAAGATTTTTGAAATATTTTTTAGGTGCTCTTTGATAAGTTTCTGTGTAAGATAACTCCAGATTCTTGGTACAATTTTTAAAATTTAATTTTGAGGTGCTGATCGTTATATTTAATTTGTTCTTTAGGAAGTTAACATTATTATCATTCCCAAACACCATAACACATTTACATGGATTAAGTTTTAAGTTGTGGTCTTGAAATATCTGATTTAAAGTTTGAAGGTCGTCATTAATGTATGCTTCAAGTTCTTTATGTCGGGCCTGAAGCTGCAATAAATTTGTGAATCATCTGCAAAGGCTAAAATTTTACAGAATTTTAAAGATCTCAAAACATCAGAAGTATAAATAAGGAAAGGCAGTGGGCCTAAAATTGATCCCTGTGGGACACCGGATAGAATTTCTACGTTCTCCGAATATTTATCATTTGAAAAAATTGATTCAAATCTAAAAGTCAAGTATGATTGAGAAGATTCGACATTAAAACCGTAGTATCGTACTTAGTTTAGCCAACAACAGCTCGTGACTAATTGTATCGAATGCTTTCGAAAAGTCTAAAAGCACTAAAACAAAACTCTTTTTTTTTAACCCAGTACGTTAGTCAATGCTATCGAGGTACCAGACCCGTTACGAAAACCGCACTGAGGATTGGGAATAATATTATTTTTTTTGTACAAAAATCGTAAAGTAGTCCATAAAGAATTTTTTCGAATATTTTCGACAAAACAGTGAGAACACTTATGATACGAATATCATTATAATTTAATGGACTTGATGTTTTAGGTAATGTTTTACCAACAGAAATTTTCCATTGGACTGGAAAATAACTTGTTTCAATGCAGCAATTTATAATGTGCGTAATGTATTTATCAATAAATGCGCTACAGTATTTCAACAAAAGTGGGAATATTTGATCGACCCTGGTGGCGTTAATTTTAATTTTTTTTAGTTTTGAATTTTGTTTACCGTGGATATATCAATCATTTTAATAAAGAAATTTAAATTGTTTTTATTGAAATTGAAAAAATGAATTAAAGCGACACGACGCTTTAAAAAACAAACAGAATAGAACTCGGATGCATGAAACTGCTATTTTTCTTTTCAGAAAAGCTGCCGGATGATCCCAAAATTACTTACATATCTCAAGACAAAGAGATCGTGTTGGGAGAGAGCATGAGACTCTTCTGCGAGGCGTTCGCGGGTAAGTTGAAAGCCTGTAGCTTATGAATCGGGCGTTTTGTCTTCTCGTGTAGATCCATATCGTACCGCTTACGTATTGAAAACATAACAATAAGACTCGTTTAAGTTTTAGAACGCTTTCTTTGCGTGAACAAAATAAGCCGCATCGCGATTTATCGCGTTGCAGCACTGATGATTTAAAATTCTCTTTATTGTTCAGGAAGGATTGATCTGCCCGACGCACACAACGAGGCAGTATGGCGCAAACAACTGGTCAACGGTAGCCTTTTGGAGGTACCCGACCGCCTTCAACAGGAGAAAATAACCAGGTATTTTTAACTTTTTAACAATACAGTTTTATAAAGTTTTTAAAGTTAATGGTATATCGGTCATATTTCGTTTCAACTATTTTCAGTTTGCTGCAAGTTTCAATTCTATGGGAAGTGTTCTTTAAAATTTTAAATGGGACGTCCTGTATAGCATTTTTGCAATTAATTTTGAGTATGGAAAATTTAGAATTTACATTACAGCTTTCTGCCAAACAACACTTTAAGATATACATAAATGCCATACCTGGTGTCGCGAAGAAGTATCACAATCTTATGCCTTTTGCAAATTGTTTTAGTGTTGATAAGTGGGCTATTTCAATCAGTTTTAACAATTTTGAAATGTTTTATCGCACGTATTTTGGACAAATTTCATATTGAATTCATAAATTTTCCATTGTTTTAAAAAACAAAAGAACGATTTATTATCTGGCTCGGCTAAATGGGTAATTAATCGTTTTCGTTCTCCAAAGTCGGTTAAGAAATAAGTATCGATAAAACTTACAGTGTGTCGCAAAGAGTTTTTCCATGTTACAGTTGCGGACGTTTGACTTTTGCAGGAGACATAATACAATCTATTTATTTATTTGTAATTAGCAAACAAAGTATATTGTAGGAATAATTACAGTTTAGGTGCACTATGGACAGCAACTCTGTGCGTGAATGTATTTTATATACGTTTCCAAAAATAATAAGCAAAAAATTTTAAGGGCTAATTCTCTTCGAAAAATTAAAATCAAAATTCATATTGCATTTCGAAAGCTCAAAAATAAAAAATATAAGAATTAAAAACAAATTGAATAAATTTTTGATAACACCATTTTTGTAGTTTAATTTTAGTTAATTTTGTCGATTAACGTTAAATGGAATGTTATTTTATATTTTTGGACCGAATTGGAGGTATGCCAAACTGCCTTAGCAGTCCATGACAATCAAAATTTTCTTAAAACTTTTTTGCCAAGTATTAAAATTTGTAAAAAAAATAAACAAAGAAGTTTGGGAATATTTTGTTAAGGCCATGGGTAGTTAATGTTTGGCATTAAGGATTTTACATCAAATTTGGTCTAACAATACAAAAGAATATTAGTAATAAATGTGCAAAAGTTAAAGTTATTCAGTGACATGGAAAAGCATTCAGGAAAGTTGTTATAAAATAAAATTTACAACCTGTTTACGAATTTTAATAATAATTTCTCGTGTGCAATTAGTAACTTAAAGTAAAACTTAGAAACTTTGCAAATTTGAAGATGTCAATACGGAAGTGATAGCTAAGAAAAACCTCCAATAAAATTTTACTAAATTTAATGTTCGGTATCGTTAAACTTAGTAAAATTTTATTGGAGGTTTTGAGCTGTATTGAGAGTGAAGATAGAACCTTGCGTTTTCGCAAACCTTTGGTACTTTTTACTCAATTTTGAAAATTCAGGGTGATTTTGGAAATTTAAAGCTTTGAGTATCCTATGAAATGTCGAAAAGATGAAAAGCGCATCCCATATAGATTTTTACGTAGAATTCAGTGGCGGAGTCAGTTCTTTTTTAAATGGTTTCGTTTTGTTGAAAAATAATAAAAAAATTTTTTAATGCATAGGTCCGCTTGGTATGAGCTTTTCAGAAATATATAACAGTATGGGGTTATTTGTATAAATGATTTCATACAAATGATTTTTTAAAGTTTTCATGAAGGTATTTGCGGTAGGCCTGGGAAAAAGGATTTATTAAGTATCTAAAATAGTTACCTTATTTATTGCTAGCGATACTTACACGAAAACTAGGTCATAAAGCTTTGTGGAATATTACAAATAAATTGTTAATATTATACTTCATTCAACTTATAAAAGTTATTGTGTAAGTATTGTCCGAAATAAATAAGGTAACTATTTTAGATATGTAATGGATCCTCTTTCCAAGGTCATATACTTTCATGAAAATTTTAAAAAATCATTTTTGTGTATTTACATGTTATACATTTCTGAGAAGCTCATACCAGGCGGAATCAAATTGGAATATAAGATTTGTTTTAACTTTATTTTTTCAAAAAGCCGAAACCATTTAGAAAAAAACTAACTACGCCAATGAATTCTATGTAGAAATCTATATCGGATGCGCTTTTCACTTTTCCAACATTTCATAGGATACCCGAGATACGAGGGGTGCCCCAAAACTTCAAATTTCCAAATCGTTTCACACAAAAGTAAACAAAGGTTTACAAAAATGGGACACAGTGTACAGGACATCCGGTTCCTAAATTATATCATAAATTGCAGTATTACTCATCGAAATTTTTAGTTTTGATATGCCAAAGTGATTCCGGTGGCGTGTTGTTTGGAAACCAAATTTTTGAAACTAAAATCGGCTATACTGTAAGAAGCGAGTTTTCTTTCGTCGGAAACTTTAATTTATAAACGATCGGCTCTAGCCCTCGGAGAAGAAGTACCGTCCAGCGGCGTAGATTTCAATTACCGACCACTAGAAAGCTTTAGGATCGTCCAAAACAATTTGGCGACTTGGGTACGCCACTGACGGCCTGATATATGGTCACCCGTGAGAACATGTCGTAGCACCGTCCTCATTGTCTTTTATATATCTGGTGCCGTTTATTTCCCGTTGCTAATGTCGCTACCGCTGAAGACGACCGTAATTATCGTATAACGAGTTCGGAATCGGAATCAAGTGTCTTTTTTTTATCCGCCGAGCGACACGATAACTGACGAGAGGTCCCCGAGCAAATCTCCAAGTATCTTTAAAATAAACAACGCTATCCGGAGCGTATTTTTCCATCTTTCTTTTTAATGTTTAGATCTAAAAGAAAAAAGGACATTTAAAAGAAAATAGACCTTGCCCAAATGGAATTTGAATATTGGGTTTTCAGGGCATTGAACTTTACATTACACTTTACCTCCATTTACCCCATTACAATCTAAAATTTCGTCAATGTCCGTGCCGTTAAAATATGTTTCGTTCAATACACCTCCTACTTTGAATTAAAGTTTCCGTTCTTGTTTAATTTTTTATAACAAACATAATTTTTCAGATATTGTAGATTAAAAGATAATATTAAAAGTTAAAACTGACCGTAAATAATTGACATCAATAATTCAAGTATAAAAGTTAGACCTACTTTCGTTAAAATTTTAAACCCAGAACAGAGACAACCATATCTATTTTGTTTCTACATTGTTGTGATTATGAGTAAGTAGCAATAGATCACTAGGTAAAATCTTAATAGCTATGAAACAAGGCCGTAACCAACATTGCTAATTACTTTGCCAATTGGTTATTGAATGAAAGAAGAAGAATGCGGAAAACTGCATTGAATATAACCCACCATAGATAACCTATGTCCTAGCCGCGTTTCATTTCTTTCTTTGTTTTCTTATACCAGTAAGCAAAATGTCCAGTAAAATGGTATTGTTTCTGCTTAAATATGCTCCAAAGTTCCTTTTTAGACTGGATAATGAAGAGAACATGAGTTTAGAGAAAAAGAATTACGAACTTACTATTTGCATCGCTATTTCCTCCTGCGTCAGTTGTTGATAAATCAGAAGGACTCCAGAAGATTTGTAAAATAGTATTGCAGTAGAATCTGGAAATTTCATAGAAAAATTACTGACTGCTTTTTATAATTTTGCGTACTGCATACTAATTGCAAAATTTAAATGTTGCTGTAATCTGTAAACCGACGAAGATCTATAAAGTAATGAAATATATTTTTTAATTATGAATTATACTTTTAATCTTTTTATTTGCCAGCAAATGAGAGCTTGTAGAAATTGTGGTATTTCTGCCTCTTTGTTTAACCGATATAAGTTAATCAATTACTCATTGGGATTTCTCAAAAGGGTGACTGTGATGATAAAACAGCTAAAAATTTTACACAAAAAATTGCGACTGCCCAATTCATGTCTTAAAAGTTACAAACCCGTTTTTAGTTGACCACAAAATTGCTCAAGAAAATTTCAAAGCCGTCAACTAGTAGCGAAAATAAGCGCAAAAATGTGATTGCCAAGTTCCCAATCAGATTTAACAATGGATTGTTAACTGATATTTGGGATTGTTAAATTTGGAGAAACAGAATACAGATTCAAAATAAATAAGAACTAAAAGTTCAGATTTTCACGAAATTATATATTTTGACATGACAATTGTTTCGACAACACCGTGTCTTTATCAAATGTAATATTTACAAACTACCTGCTACTATATATACCGAAAAATGAGAGGTATTTAAATCTAATTGATCGTTAAGCAATACATTTGAATGTCTCATTTTGTTAATCTCCATGGCTTCCAATAAATTTAATTTTCTAATTTTTGTGGCTGTATGTAATATATCAAAATTGTCGTCAAAATGTGTTTTTCTGTGTTTAAGTGTGTAGCATAATTAGAATCTAGACTATTGTTTTTAAACTCTCTTATATGTTCGTTAATGCGTTTCTTGAAGGATCTACCTGATTGTCAACAAAATTAAAGACATCAAAATCCCTTCTAACGCAACACTACTGTCTTTTGATCTACAAAACTTATTTCCCAGGATGTGATAGATTTAGTAGATTTCAACCTAACTCGGAAGCAGGTTAACCCATTGGTGAAACAAGATTTATTAGATTGCTGAATAGTATCTTTAGACCAAAATTATTTTGAATTTAATGGACATATTTATATCTCTAAAGAAGGTTTGATTATGGGAAACCCACTTAGTCCTTTGTTAGCTAAGATTTTTATGGATAATTTGGAAAATATCATACCAGAACATCCTTTAAGTAAAAGTTTTTTATGGTGGTATAGATATGTGGATGATGTCTTTGCTTGCTTTGTTGGAACGGACAGACAATTGAATTCTTTTTTAAATTACATTAACTCAATACATAATCGTATAAAATTCACTATCGAGATTGAACAGGATAACTCTATTAATTTTTTAGACTTAACTATCACGAAAGTGCAAAACAAATTAGACTTTTCAATATATCATAAACCTTCACACACGGACACAGTCGTACATA